TTTGGAGCTTATAGACCGATCTGACAAGGAGGGTGGAGGAGAGAGAGGGCTGGGTTCAAATAAGCATCTTTGTCACTGCTTAGATGAATTTGAGGCATCGCTAATATGCAAAACTCTTTTTGCAAGTATGGAACAATAAATGATTCTGTCACTTGGCCACACTGGTGAGGATCTAGATTTGATCCCCAGGGCCACATACAAAAGTGGGAATAATCCCACCAGTTGGAGACTGAGGAAAGGTTTACTTTAGGGGAGATGTGGGATGAAAAGTCAGCAATGCTACATTCCTATAACCCCAGCACTTGGGAGGTGGATGCAGAAGGATCGGGTGTTCAAAGCCATCCTTGGCCACATGGCAAGTTCAAGGTGTTGGGCTGTTTGCTGAAGAAGCAGGAACATGAGGGGTTTGGGAGAAATAAGTACTGAGTAGCACCAGAGAGGAAGGTATAGAAACGGTGGGTGATAGTGGACCTGATAGGTCTGTAGGCAGAGCGACACTGTCCAGGATCGTGGGGAGTACCTCTGACGTTTGTACCTCTCAGGTGATGGAGAGCGCCCCTGCAAGGGGTGGATTGAACCGAGCGCACCTACAATGTAGGAATCTACAGGAGTTCTTAGGGGGCCTGAGCCCTGGGGTGCTGGACCGATTGTATGGGCACCCAGCCACTTGTCTGGCTGTCTTCAGGTGAGAGCCTTTCAAAGCAAGAACCGTGGTTTGGGTAACATAACGGGGTCTGCAGACTGGAATATCTCATGGGGAGAGGCTTAGCCTAGTGTGAGCACCGGTGTGTTAGACATTACCACAAGGTGTGGCAGTCCAAAACAGAGTGTGAGGACAGTGGAACTGATAAAGAGGTGGGAGATGGGGTGAGACGTTCGAGAGGCAGATGTGGGCAGAGGTGCAGGCATGAGGCAGCTTCTGGTAACCTTTGGCCTCTGAACCTTACAGGGAGCTCCCTTCTCTGGCGAAGAACTGGGTGATGCGGATGCTTTTTCTGGAGCAGCCTCTGCCGCAGGCTGCAGTGGCCCTGTGGGTGAAGAAAGAGTTCAGCAAGTGAGTCCTGAGCACAGCCATGCTGGCTGCCCAGTGGCTGCATTCTCAAGCTGCACAGCTAGGATCCACACAGAAGCTGGGGTCACACCTCGGGCCTCTCCGCAGGCTCTGCCCCGCACAGGGAATACCCTCCAAGAGTACGCTGGCAGTGGTTTCCCCTTTGGAGGTTGTGATTTCTGTAACTAACTAGTTGTATGCTGACTTAAAAAAGAGAGCAAAGAAAAGAAAGAAGCAGTCCTGGGAGTTGGAAGGGAGAGCTAGGAAGAGCAGTTCGAGGGCTCCACGGTAAGTCTGAGGCTGTCTCCGGCTTCATAGGACCCTTTCAGAAACAAAACAAAACAAAAGAAGGAAGAAAGAGAAAGAAAAAGGGGATTGACTTAGAAAACGAAATAGAGAAACAAATAGTGATTAAAAGAAAAGAAAACAAGCCAGGTGGCTTTAATGTATCACATGCCTTTAATCCCAGCACTCGGGAGGCAGAAGAAGGCAGATCTCTGGGGGTTCAAGGTCAGCCTGGTCTACAGAGTGAGTTCCAGGACAGGCTCTAAAGCTACAGAGAAACCCTGTCTTGAAGAAAAAAAAAGAAGAAGAAGAAAAGAAAAACTAGGCTCTACTTAGTTCTGTAGTTAGAAACACAGCTTCGCTCTGGGACGCTGTTCCAAGGGCTGTCAGTTTAGAAAAGGTAGAAATGGAACCCCCTAGAGGTCTCTTTCTGCTCATAACATGCCCCTCGCCTCTGCTTCTGTCCAGGGCTCAGGAGGAGAGTACAGGGCTCCTCAGTGGCCTCCGCATTTGGCATACGCAGCTGCTCCCTGGTGGACTCCAGGGCCTCATCCTCAACCCCATCTTCCGCCAGAACCTCCGGATTGCCCTTCTGGGTGGGTATGTCATTTCCCTCTTCCTGAGCTAGGTCAGGGGAACTGCTGATGGCAGCCATGGAGGAGAAGCTCCTGAGAGGTCCCCTCCCCCTTTGGAAGCCCCTTCAAAAATACATTGGACTGGGTATGGGTGCAGGGTATAGGAAGTGCCCCCTCTTCATGGTCCGTGGGGAAGCAGACAGGGTTCCTTACTCCTGCTCATCCTGGCTGGCCGCAGGGGCAAGGCCTGGTCTGATGACACAAGTCAGCTGGGACCAGACAAGCATGCCCGGGACGTCCCCTCGCTTGACAAGTACGCTGAGGAGCGCTGGGAGGTGAGGATCGGGCCTCTGTGTGCCTCTGCTCTGCCCCCATTCCTGGAGCCCTGAGATCCAGTCCGACCCTTTGTCTCTAGGTGGTCTTGCACTTCATGGTGGGCTCCCCCAGTGCAGCCGTCAGCCAGGACCTGGCCCAGCTCCTCAGCCAGGCTGGGCTTATGAAAAGGTGAGGTGGGCAGAACACAGCAGCTCCCTGCTCATTGGGTCTCAGATAAAGCGGGTGTCCAGGACTTGGAGGGATGAGGAAAGAGGTCTGAGTAGGTATAAGAAATAGGCAGCCCCTCTCTGCATGCTGTTACCATCAGCCCCTCCGTTTCTAGCACTGAACCTGGAGAGCCGCCCTGTATCACTTCTGCTGGCTTCCAGTTCCTGCTGCTGGACACGTCTGCCCAGCTCTGGTACTTCATGCTGCAGTATCTGCAGACAGCGCAGGTAAGAGCCAGGGCCTACAACCATGTCCGCTCTCCTCCGGTCCCTAGACTGCGTTCCTTAATTCCCTCTTCCTGCCACTCTGCCTCATATCCTCTCTCACCTCCCCTTTCTCCTCAGAGTCGGGGCATGGACCTAGTGGAGATTCTCTCCTTCCTCTTTCAGCTCAGTTTCTCTACTCTGGGCAAGGTAAGTAGGGGCTGGAGGACAGGGAGATAAAGAGAGGTTATGGAGAAGTGGGGTGTAAGAATGACCACAGAACTGCCTAAGAAGTTACAATAGGGGGGTGCAGGGGCTGGGTGGCCAGTGGTGGACTGGGTGCCCAGCCCCCGTTGGCCGTTTCTTCCCCAGGACTACTCTGTAGAGGGTATGAGTGATTCTTTGTTGAATTTCCTGCAACACCTGCGTGAGTTCGGACTCGTTTTCCAGAGGAAGGTACGCACACCCAGCCGCCTGGCTTCTAGGAGAGTGGGGTCTTGGGGCGCAGCAGAAAGTCCTTGCCAGGACTGAGTGCTTGGGTCATTTGAGGGGGGAAGTTCAGGGTTGGTTTTACACTGGGGATCTGGTGTCTGTCAGGCAGATGCTAGGGTGGTGGGGTGACCTGATAGGGGACCCTATTTCCCTGTGCCCTTCCAGAGGAAGTCCCGGCGTTACTACCCCACGCGCCTAGCCATCAATCTCTCATCTGGCATCTCTGGGGCTGGGGGCACCGTGCATCAGCCAGGCTTCATTGTCGTGGAAACCAATTACCGACTGTATGCCTATACCGGTGAGGCTGGATGGAGGTGGTTGGGGGAGGGAGTGGCGGTGGTGGTGGAGGGGGGACACAGGAGGGATTCCAGTTATGGCCATGTTTATGGTTTAGGAGCACTCTGGTATTTCGTCTAACACACGAGGGCAGGGCTAGAGGGAGGCAGGTGTGGGCACCTCCTCATTCCTCTTCATCCCGGGTCAGAGTCGGAGCTGCAGATCGCTCTCATCGCCCTCTTCTCCGAGATGCTCTATCGGTTCCCCAACATGGTGGTGGCACAAGTGACCCGGGAGAGCGTGCAGCAGGCCATTGCCAGTGGCATCACAGCCCAGCAGGTATCCCTACTTGGAATGGAGGTGGGGAGATGGGTTGTGCTTGTCCTGGGGGGTCTTCCTGCCGTGGAAGCATATCTTCAGCTCTGTTGGGCTCGTGGCGAGGCAAGTGCAAGAGATGCCGTTTCAGGGACAGAGACTGCTCAGACGGCTTTCTGCATTCTTGTGTTTTCTTAGATAATCCATTTCCTGAGGACCAGGGCCCATCCAGTGATGCTCAAACAGGTATGGGTGGGTGGGGTGCCGAGATGCTGGAGGCTGGCAGCCTGGGCATCTAGTGACGGAAGGATGGATGGAAAGGGGCATCTAAACCACAGAGACTGCTTCGGGCTCTTGCCCTGGGTCCTATAGCCCCACCCTTGTCCCTGCAGACTCCTGTGCTGCCTCCCACCATAACAGACCAGATTCGGCTGTGGGAGCTGGAGAGGGACAGACTTCGTTTCACTGAAGGTGAGTGGCTTCTGTTGACCTAAGAGGTAAGGCCAGAAGTTTGGCCATGGTGAATGGAAAGGGTCTTGGGCATTTCTTATTTGTTTCCCTCACAGAGAGGGAGAGGAAAGCTGATCCTTTATTTTGATATATTGGTAGCAGGAATTATGTCCCAATTCAGTGCAATTTGGATTAAGCTAGCTAGGTGAGGGTAAGAAGCAGGGTCATTCAGTCATCGCCCTAAGTAGGTTTGCATGGTTTTTCTTGTGATATTCCGTTTCTTTTCGAACGTCTGGATGGCACGAGTTCGTTCTTAAAACTCTGGTTTGCTGCCTTTGCCCTATACTGCCCGAAGGGGCCGAGGCCATTGCAGCCCCTCACCTCCTGCCTGTCCCACCCAACCCCAGGCGTCCTGTATAACCAGTTCCTGTCGCAAGTGGACTTTGAGCTGCTGCTGGCCCACGCTCGGGAGCTGGGCGTGCTGGTGTTCGAGAACTCGGCCAAGCGGCTGATGGTGGTGACGCCGGCCGGGCACAGCGACGTCAAGCGCTTTTGGAAGCGGCAGAAGCACAGCTCCTGAGCAGTCCGGGTCTGGACCCGGGCGGGCGAGCGGGCGAGCGGGCGGGCAGCTTTCCAACTCAGATGTATTTTGTTTACACACCGGGACATTTCTTGTTTAATAAAATTAAGGAAAAAGCTAAGCGGCTCCGGACACCTGCTCACGTTTTCCCATCCGAGGTGGTGGTACCCACAACTACATAGTAAACCCTCGGAGCGTCTTCTACGCACGCGCCGGCGTGGCCCCGCCCCTGCGCGTGCGCACACCCGGCGGCTTCCCTGTCTGCACGCCGAGTCCGCTGCGGAGTTCAGGATAGAGTCCCGTGTTGGGAGTTTTGGGGGTTTCCTGGTTTCCGAACCCCAGACTTCTCTTCCTCGTGTCTGCATCAGTGCAGGGTGACCGCCAGAGCCCCTGCTTTCTGGACGCCCTGGTTTCAGCGATCCAGAATGCTGTTGCCACCATGCGCTCCGCCCCTGGGCGGAAGGACCGAGTGAAAGGGTTCAGCCGCTGGGCTGGAGTGACGGGCTGTGACCTCCAGCACCCCACGGCCTCTTAATGAGCGCACCTGACTTCTTCCCAAACACTCCCGATGTCTCATTTACCTCTGGCCTCTTTCCGGCCACCGCTTTGGGTACTGAGGCCCTCCTGGGGTCTGTCCAGGCCCCAGCCACTGTGTACACAGCCAGAGCTCCAAGGCTCGCCCCTCTCTCGGAGGAACCGTGAAGCCAAACAGAAGCGCCTGCGGGAGAAGCAGGCGGCCCTGGAGGCTGGGCTAGCTGAGACGAGCAAGGTCAGGGGTCAGTCCTTGGGAAGGGACTGAAGGAGGTCTGGTGCGGGGATCTAGATGACTGTGGTGTACTTACTGCGATCTGCAACCCCCCCCCCCATTTCCTCCCACAGTCACCCGCAGTGCCCACCAAGGCCTGGAGCCACAAGGAAGTAGTATTGTATGAAATCCCCACCGAGCCAGGTGAAAAGAAAGGTAAACCGTGGTTATGTTTTTGTGATTTTGATGCTCTCTGGTCTGCTGAAATGCAGTTCAGTAGTGGCTCTCTCTTCTGCATGTACAGATGTTTCTGGGTCCCTGCCTCCTGCTTACAGTCCCCGATATGTTGAAGCGGCCTGGTACCAGTGGTGGGCGCGAGAGGGCTTCTTCAAGCCAGAGTATCAGGTCAGTGCTGGGCAGAACCGGGCTGCGAGGGCCCAGGGACCGATCGGGCAGCCCTTGAACTTTGTGGGCACAGGCCAGCTTCACAGCTCAGCTTTCATTCGGCCCCGGCTGCTTCAGAGATTTCTTTTTACTTTCTGCACACTGGATGAAATTCTATCATCATCATCATCATCATCATCATCATCATCATCATCATGATTTGGTTTTTTGAGATAGGGTCTCTATATAGATCAGGTTGACCTCAAACTCACCGAGATCCACCTGCCTTTGCCTCCCGAGAGCCAGGATCTACACCTGACCTCCTGAAGTTCTTTTTGACCTGGGCACACCACACCAGAGGGTGCTGTTGTCCTCCAGGTAACACAGTCCTCTCCGGTGCCTCAGACCTCCTCATTCCTTCTAGGCGCAGCTGCCCCACGCTACAGGGGAGACCTTCTCCATGTGTATCCCACCTCCCAACGTCACTGGCTCCCTGCACATCGGTCACGCACTCACAGTAGCGATACAGGACGCGCTTGTGCGCTGGTGAGAGAACTTGGGGCGGCCGCAGTTCTGAAGGGAAAGTGGGTGAGTAAACTCAAGGGTCCCTTCTGGTGTTTCCGTCTCAGGCACCGGATGCGTGGAGATCGCGTGCTGTGGATCCCTGGCTCAGATCACGCAGGAATTGCTACCCAGGTGGGTCTTTTGTCCCGGTTCCCTTTCTCGGTCGACGGCGCAGTCTTTATCCGAAGCACCTTGACCAGCTTTTCGTCTGCCCTTGATTCCACTCCAGGCTGTGGTGGAGAAACACCTGTGGAAGGAGCAGGGCGTGAGGAGACACGAGCTGAGCCGGGAAGACTTCCTCAAGGCCGTGTGGCAGTGGAAGAACGAGTACGGGGGCGGGGCCTCTAGGGCGGGGCTACGTGCATGACTGGCTGAATCTTTGCTTGCCTTCTCCTGACGGGTAGTGTTCGGGTCTTCCGAACCGCCTCAGGGCAGAAGCTCTGGGACTCAGCGTTTGAGGGACCGGGTGTCCAAGCTCTGTGGGGGGGGGGGGGGTGGGGGGGGGGCGCACGCTGTGTTTATGTCAGAATGTAAATATCGTGTAAATATTGTGTATGTGTATATTATGGATCTGTGCACGTATCTGGTTGTTTTTTGTTTTAAATTCTGTCTGCTTGTCCTGTTTCCTCTTGGATTTCATCCTCTCCCTTGCACCGGGGCCCGACTCCTTCATGTCTGTTGTCACGTGTTTTGTCTTTCTTACTTTCTTACATTTTTCACTGTGTGGCTGTTCCTGCCAGGCATGTACAACCTGTGGTCCGTGGGTCACGTGCATTCCTGCATAGCTGTGAATTGTAAACTTATTTAAAACACGTTGGGGACTTGTTTTGTGTGTGTGATTGTTTCTTTCTTTTGCTTTATTGCACAGTTCTCAAATGTGAACTTTCTAGATGGCAATGTCGTGTTACGGTGTTGTGCAAAATGAATGTATGTATGCGCTCACAACCCATGGGCCGCAGCTTAGATGTGTGTTGTATGCTCCCATAACCCAGGGGCCACAGCGTAGACACCACAGTGTGTAGCCCAGGACAATTATTCATCCTGCGTGGCTCAGAGAAGCCAGAAGTTTAGACACCCCTGTAGAGACCTCTATGCAGCTTTTAAAGCCATGGAAAACCTCACTCTGGTTGTGTGGCTCTGTCTTCATCGGCTTCTAGTCCCTGCTGGACTGGTGCCACGTGCACCTTATTTCCTGTGCTACCTGGCATTGGTGAGCGTCCTTGGTTAGTGTGCGGGAGGTGTTCTGGTCATGTTTACCGAAAGGAATCTCTGGTGCAGGAAAGGAGGGGAGATCTATGAGCAGTTGTGCGCTCTGGGTGCCTCTCTGGACTGGGACCGAGAGTGCTTCACCATGGACGCTGTGAGTTCACGTTATAGTCCCTGCGGGTTTTCTCGGGAGGGTGTTGGGAGAGGAACGAGAGGAATCTCTGGTTCAGCTGAGGGAGCATGTCATCCTTCTAGGGCTCCTCGGCAGCTGTGACGGAAGCGTTTGTGCGACTCTACAACTCGGGATTGTTGTACCGGAGCCGTCAGCTTGTCAACTGGTCGTGCACTCTGAAATCGGCCATCTCAGACATTGAGGTGAGGAAGAGGAGAGAAGCAGGCTGGCGGAGTCGGGCCCTTGCCGCCGGCAGCTGTGTTTGCCTGTCTCAAGCTCTAGACATTCTGCTTCACCCGTCAGTCAGATGGTGGCATCTTGCCTCGTAGGGGCATTGTAAAGAGTCACAGAATTTGTGCTCAGTGCAGTGAACTGCCTTGGCTTCTGAGCTCTGTGACTTTACAGTGGACGTTGGCTCGCCAGCCCTCTGGATGGGATTTGGGTGGATGCCAGGGAAGCGGGATGCATGGCGGTGGAAATCCTGGATGTGAGCTCTGCAGAGAGGCTGCTCTCTCACCTGCCTCTTCAACCTTCCAGGTAGAGAGCCGGTCCCTGCCTGGCCGCACAGTGCTCCAGTTGCCCGGCTGCCCAACCCCCGTGTCTTTTGGGCTCCTTGCTTCTGTTGCCTTCCCTGTGGATGGCGAGCCTGGTGAGTGTCAGCCTAAAGTTGCCCTCTTTCCTCTGCTCCCCATTTTCTCAAGCACATACTGGGTCTCTGGGACTCCTGGTAGGTTTGCTGCTGGGGGTCCTTACTCTGGGGTCGCTACTTTGGGAACTTAGGATGAGTGTATGAGAGTCTTTCACTCAGGAAAGAGGTGAAAGATCAGTTCTGACTAATGATGGTACACTTGCGATCACAGCGTTTGGGAGGCAGAGGTGGGAGGATTCCAGGTTTAGGGCTCACCCAGTCTATATAGCAAGTTCCAAGACAGCCAGGGTGACATGGGCCCCGTCTCAGGAAAGCAACGCAAAGGAAAGCAGCTGCAACGTGTAGATTTTAATGCTTCAGCTAGGCCAGAAAAGGGCAGGAGGCAGCAGGGGCCAGCTGGGCCTTGTCTGCTTCACCTGTGTCGGGAGGGCCGGGCGATGGCTGACCGCAGGGCTTGAATGCTTGTCTCCAGGTGTGGAGATTGTGGTGGGAACCACGAGGCCTGAGACACTGCCTGGAGACGTGGCTGTGGCCGTCCACCCCGACGACCCACGATACACAGTGAGTAACTGGAGTGGGCCTGCACCCCACACTGCACCCTTTCCTCACTGTTCCCCCTTCTGAGACCCCTCCTCCCAGCTCTGTGGCAGCTCAGTCTATGCTCCCTTCTCTTTTGCTATTCTGCTTCTCCTCACGCTTGGGGTTAATCAACCACGGCCCCCAGACCACGCTGCTGCCCATCTCTGTATCCACCACACTCATTGGCTCCTGCGCTTCCCATGGCTGCCTTCGTTGGAGCAGTGGAGGAGCTGTTCGGAGTGTTTATTCCTTGGCTCACTCGCTGGGCCTTTTGCCTTCTGCCCCCTTGCTCTGGGGTCTCACGGGGCGGACCCTCTGTCCCTCTTGCTCTGGGGTCTCACGGGGCAGACCCTCTGTTCCTGACACTCACCTTTCCCTTTAGCATTTACACGGGCGACAGCTTCGTCACCCTTTGACAGGACAGCTCCTCCCCCTCATCACAGACACCACTGTTGAGCCACATGTGGGCACAGGTGTGTGGAAGCCAAAGGTTCAGGGAGAAGTGGGGGACACAGTGGGAAAGCCATGCGAGTGGGCGTCTCACAGCAGCTCCTTCCCCCAGGGGCAGTGAAGGTGACCCCGGCTCACAGTCCAGCGGATGCCGAGATGGGGGCCCGGCACGGCCTGACCCCTCTGAGTGTCATCGCAGAGGATGGGACAATGACGTCTCTCTGTGGAGACTGGCTGCAGGTGGGGCCGGTCTTGGTGCTGCCCATCTCGTGTGGGCACTGTCCACCCCGCCTCATCCTGCCTGTCACTTCCCCCAGGGTCTTCACCGATTTGTGGCCCGGGAAAAGATCATGTGCACACTGAGGGAGCGGGGGCTGTTCCGGGGCCTGCAGGAGCACCCCATGGTGCTGCCCCTCTGCAGGTAGTGTCATTTTAGTCCTCCGCTAGGGGCCGTCCCGAAAGGGGGTGGGCTCCATACCCTGGTTAGCGTGTGGGTTCTGTTTGAGTCAGGGTCTTGATCGTATAATCCGAGCTGGCCTGGAACTCCCTGCCTCAGCCTCTAGGGTGTTAGGATTACAAAAGGTGCCACCAGTCCAGGGTCCTGTGAGATTGTCCCCAGCTGCTCCTTAGCACACGGATCCTAACCCTGCTACCCTTGCAGCCGTTCCGGGGACGTGGTAGAATACCTGCTGAAGAGCCAGTGGTTTGTCCGCTGCCAGGAAATGGGGGACCAAGCTGCCAAGGTAAGGCGGCCCAGTATAGGGAGGAGGGACTGGGCCTGGGAGGCGGGGAGCCTCTGAGGATAGTGATGAAGCAGAGACTGGGGATCTGTCATAAAGGCTCTGGTGGCGATGGAGGCAGGTGGCCCGAGCAGGCTGCCGCGCACCCTTGTTCTAGCCCAGAATCATCTTGGCCAGCATTCAAGGCCCTTCTGCCACACATGGTGCAGGAGAACAAGTTGACCTATGACCTCTATATGTGTGCACCTATACAACATACATGGACATAAGCATTCTAAAACTTGAAAATTATTTAATTGCCTCTGTTATGGTGCCCAGGTGGAGATGAGAGGCTAAAGTGTGGGGTTGGTTCTTCTGTGGACTAGAATTCAGGCTGTCACGCTGTGAGCCAAGCAAGCTCTTTGCCTGAGCCGTTTCACTGCCCAGGTCTCACTAGCAGGACTGGAACAGACTGACCTCACACTCAGACCCGCCTGCCCGTGACTGGGATTAAAGGCGTGGGCTACCTTTATTTCCAGGCTGTGGAGTCAGGGGCTCTGGAGCTCTGGCCTGCCTTCCACCAGAAGAGCTGGCAGCATTGGTTTGCCCACATCGGGTAAGGGGGGCGCTCATGAAGGTGGAGGGGGAGGATCCTGGGCACATCGAGGCATCAGCTGGGATCTTCCTTGACAGGGACTGGTGCGTCTCCCGGCAGCTGTGGTGGGGCCATCAGATCCCGGCCTACCTGGTGGTTGGAGAGAAGGCAGAGGTTGGTGAGCAGCAGCAGTTGGTGTGGAAGGAAGCCCCAGGCAGGGAGCTCAGAGCCTGGGGCGGTGGCTTGGGGGTTGGGAGCCCGCCACATTAATCCCATGCTTTTTTCAGGATAACGGGAAGGAATGTTGGGTGGTCGGGCGGTCAGAGGCTGAGGCCAGAGTCGTAGCAGCAAAGCTGACCGGGAGACCAGGGGAGGAACTGACCCTGGAGAGGGGTGAGTGTGTGGCCGAATCTGTGAGGGGCACTGGGACTGGCAGCAGCGGCCGAAGGTTCTAGCTGCCCCCATTCGGTTTTGTCCCCAGACCCTGATGTCCTGGACACTTGGTTCTCCTCGGCTCTTTTCCCCTTTTCTGCCCTGGGTTGGCCCCAAGAGGTGAGGTGGTTAAAGCAGAACACATGAGGGTGGGCGCCACACGGGTGGGCAGAGCTGGCTAAGGCGGGCGCGGCCCTTACTGCTTATCCTGTCCTAGACGCCAGACCTCACTCGTTTCTACCCGCTTTCGCTTTTGGAAACTGGCAGTGACCTCCTGCTGTTCTGGGTGAGCCGCATGGTCATGCTGGGGACCCAGCTCACGGGGCAGCTCCCGTTCAGCAAGGTAGTGTATTCTAGTGCCCCACATGCCCGGTCTCCCCCTGGTCCCTAAGCCCTTCTGCTGACCCCCTGCATGTCTCCAGGTGCTTCTCCATTCCATGGTTCGGGACAGGCAAGGCCGAAAGATGAGCAAGTCCCTGGGGAATGTGCTAGACCCACGGGATATCATTAGCGGGCAAGAGCTGCAGGTAGGAACAAAGGCTTTAGCTCAAGGGATGAAGAGGTCAGGGGAGCACAGGGAGCGAGGTCCGTGAACTTGTCGCTCATCCCCAGGTGCTGCAGGCCAAGCTGAGAGATGGCAATTTGGACCCGAGGGAGCTGGCCATTGCAGCCGCAGCACAGGTCAGACCCGTGGGCCTTGTCCAGTCTCACTTGGCTGCCAGCTTCCCCTGCAGCCTTGAAGGCACTGACCACCCCTGTCTTCCTTGGGTTGCAGAAAAAGGATTTTCCTCATGGGATCCCTGAGTGTGGGACAGATGCCCTGAGGTTTGCGTTGTGCTCTCATGGAATCCTGGGTGAGCCTTGGTGGCTGGCATGGCCGAGGGCCCCTGTGTGGACAGCCAGCCCTGCTTGCCGAGGACGGGGAGACTCCTGTTTCTCTCCCTCCAGGAGGCAACCTGCACCTGTCTGTCTCTGAGGTCCTAAACTACCGCCATTTCTGCAACAAGATCTGGAACGCCCTGCGCTTTATCCTCCGCGCCCTGGGGGAGAACTTCGTACCCCAGCCAGCAGAGAAGGTGGGAGGACGGCAGCCAGCCTGGAGTCACGGGGGACGGGGTCCAGCCACCCGGGCCCTCATGCCGCCTGCTTGCAGGTGTTGCCCTCCTCCGCCATGGATGCCTGGATTCTGAGCCGTCTGGCCTTTGCCGCCCACGAGTGTGAGAGGGGCTTCCTCAGCCGGGACCTGTCGCTCGTCACCCACACCCTGTACCATTTCTGGCTCCACAACCTCTGTGATGTCTACCTGGTGAGTGGTAAGGCAGGGCCTAGAGTTTCCAGAGCTCTGGGGGCGCGTGCACATGTTCCTCCCTCACTGCCTGGCCCCTGGAGTGCAGCCCAGCGTTGCTGCCTGTCAGTGAGGAGGCTGAAGAGTCACGGTTCGGCCACTCTAGCTGCTGCTTCCCGGGGGGACACTGTGGTGGGTTTCAGACCAGGGTCTCTAAGCAGTGTCCATGACAGTCACCCAGAGTGCTTGCCTGCCTCAGTTCCCCACTCAGGGTCGTTCAGGGCATGCATGGGGCTGATCTCCCTAGCTATAGCTATTTCTCAGCCTTGTTCCAGGGCAGAGGACGTGGTGCATCGGACACTTCTGTCCACAGCACTGCAGAGAAAAAACCACTGTCCCTTTCCAATAAGAAATAAAAAAAAAAAAACCAAACTGTCACACTCTCTCTCCCGCACCTCTGGGAAATCACTGCACGGGGCCCTGTTCACATGCACATCCAGGGATAGATAGCGTGGTGTCGGTGATGCTCGGAACCTTAGCATGTACCCCGTCCCGGGAGCTGGTCTCCACTGGCACAGCAGTGACAGAGAGGCAGAATGCAGTGTGGCTGTTCTACTACCTGTCAGCTCCCTCCCTAGGAAGCGGTAAAGCCAGTGTTGTCGAAGGCACCGTGTCCCCCAGGACCCCCTCAGGTCCTGTTCTCCTGCGCCGATGTTGGTCTGCGCCTCCTCGCTCCACTGATGCCTTTCCTGGCAGAAGAACTTTGGCAAAGACTGCCCCCCAGGCAAGGTGGTCCCCTTGCCCCCAGCATCTGTGTGGCCCCCTACCCCAGTGCCCACAGCCTGGTAAGTCAGGGTCAGGGGTAGAAGGGTAGCCTTGTGATGGCTGAAGGTTGTGGGGCCGCTGCCACTAACCATAGGGCTTTTCACATGAGTTCCAACTCAGGTTACCACGCTTGCCTGGCAGACATTACCTGCTGAGCCATTTCCCAGCCCCATTTGTTTGTTTGTTTTTCCCCCATTTTGAGACAGGGTCTTTCTGTGTAGCTGGGCTGTCCTGGAGCTCGCTGTATAGACCCGCCTACCTCTCTGCCAAGTGCTGGGATTCAGGGCATGTGCCACCATGTCCAGCACTGCTGTTTCTATGCTGTCTCACTAAATTGATTCATACTTCTAATCCTAGCACTTGGGAAGCGGAGGCAGGAGGATTTTGTAAGTTTGAGGCCAGTGTGGTCTATATATCAAGTTCCAGGACTAGATAGAGGGGAAAGGCCGGGCAGTGGTGGTGCACGCCTTTAATCCCAGAACTTGGGAGGCAAAGGCAGCTGGAGCTCAGTAAGTTCAAGGACAGCCTGGACTGTTACACAGAGAACCCTATCTCGAAAAACAAAACAAAGAGGCGGGGGGTGGGGGGGATTCTGGGACTAGAGAGGTGGCTCAGCAGCTAAGAGCATCTGTTCTTGCAGACAACCAGGGTTTGATTCCCAGCACGCGCACTGTGGCTCTCAACTGTAACCCCAGTTGCAGGAGATCCCACAGGCATGCATATGCTGTACCGAGTACATGCTTGTAAAATATTCAAACAAAGTAAAACTGTTCTAGATTTAAACCTGACACTGGGCTTTGTGTCTTGATAGTACTTGGGTTTCTCGCCCAGTGGGGATTGGTTGGTACTGCAGAGTGAGTAAGTCATCAACTCCTGGTCGTGCATTCCCTTAGATGGTGGTGCCCTCACCTGGTGCCCTGCTCCTGCAGGCGGAGCGCTGTGCTCGTTGATGAGGCAGTGGAGAGGGTACAGCAGCAGCAATGCCAAGTTTCCCGGGAGCTTCCCTGCTGACTCTGGGTTTTCTCACCAGGAGTCCTGGCGCCAGCCCCAGCTGGAACGCTGCTTCTCCAGGGTCCAAGAGGTTGTCCAGGCACTACGGGCCCTCCGAGCCACCTACCAGCTCACAAAAGCCCGACCCCAAGGTGAGGCTGGTCCTGGGTGTCGTCATGAAGGGGCTGTCAGGGAAGGGCAGCCAAGGATGGGAGCGGCTGGCCTCACTGTCCCTGCCTCCACCAGTGCTGCTCCAGAGCTCAGATCCGGAAGAACAGGGCCTATTCCAGCCCTTCCTGGAGCCCCTGGGCACCCTGAGCCACTGTGGGGCCGTCGGGTTCCTGCCCCCAGGGGCAGCAGCTCCCTCCGGCTGGGCCCTCGCCCCACTGGATGACACTGTTAAGATCTACATGGAGCTGCAGGTGAGCAGAGGAAACTGGAGGGTCTCAGGGTGGAGGCTGCAGACTGCCGGTGTCTCAGCCCTCGCTCCTGATGTCTAGGGCCTGGTGGACCCCCAGAGCCAGCTACCTCGGCTAGCTGCCCGGAGGCAGAAGTTACAGAAACAGCTCGCTGACCTCTTGAACCGGACTGCGTCAGAGGGGGTTGCAGAGAGGCAGCAGAGGGTAAGTGAGGAAGCCTGAGTCCTGGCGGGGATGGTGCGGAGCCGGCTCACCCATTCTCGTCCCCCTCCCCATCCAGCTTTCCTCCCTCCGCCTGGAGCTATCAAAGTTGGACCAAGCAGCCTCCCACCTCCAGCAGCTGATAGAAGAGACACCCAGTGCCAGGGAGCTCTGAGCCCCACTCACACCCCTGCCAGCCTTCCTTCCCAGACCTGGGGTGCAGGGCGACCTCAGAAGTGACCTCGTCTACCTTCCTTGTTTTGTAAAAGGAAGCAGACCTGAAGTCCCCGCGATGCAAGAATGAGGAGAGGGAGATAAAATGATGAGACCCCAATGCACCGTGTGTGATCCTTCCTCTCCCTTGCTCTAGAAGAGAGCCACTGCCCTGGCGTGACACTGGTTCCAACAGTTTCCTAAACTTAGGGGCAGGGCTCTGGTGACCTGTGCCTAGAGGCTGATACTTTTTTTTCTGGGCGTGAGGTCTATAAAGGACTCTGGGGAACTCAGTTGTCCAAGTTCCATGTCCCAGATGCAGGCAGCCACCCGCACCCAAATACCTCACCTCAAGTGAGATTCAGAGCCTGCTCAGCCCTTCTGCATGGAGGGGCTCAGGGTAGATGTTTGTGCTGAGCCTTTTGTGGCTGGGTCTTCTGTCATTCTTGATATCTTACTAAGAATGGACTCCTATGGGCTTTAGCTTAATTTGGATACAGCCAGAGAATGGAAGGAACTCGCCCAACTTACCAACAGGGATTTAGCCTAGCTGGCTCAGCACACCAGCTCCAGTGCAGCCCTTTCTGCTGCAGTAACAACATTTCAAACACTAGAGTTGCTTTGACACATTAACTCCAGTTGCTGCCATGCGTCTGCATGCTTATCAAAGGGAGGAAGCAGACGGGTCTCCTAATTTCCCCCGCTCTGGGTTCGGTGGGTGATAGTGAGTTTAAAAGTCATCAAATGGAGTTAAGAGTACTGACTACTCTTCCAGAGGACCCGGGTTCAATTCCGAGCACCCACATGGCAGTTCTAGGGGACCCAACATCCATGGCAAAACACCAATGCAGACAAAATTTAAAAAAAAAAAATCACCAAAGGTGAGAGACAAAGGGAAGACAAGGGAACTGAGTGTGTTGAAATATAAATGGGTCAAGAGTCTTAGACGGGGCTAAGCAAAGACTTTTGGGAGGTGTGGGAATAGCCAAGTTGGGGCCACTGCCATTACAGAAAGTCCTGCCTGAGCTAGGGAGAGCAGAGGAGGAGGAGTGGCTCAGTAGTGGACCAGCCAGGCAGGTGCTAGCACCTAGCATCCACCAGGGGCCGCACAAAGCACCTCGGGAGTGGAAGCCTGTGCCTATGACCCAGGTGGGGGGCCGGGCTCACGGGAGCAGGCAGAGCAGCAGCTGGTTCACCATCATGGACGATAAGTTATTGACCAAGCCGCAGGACCAGTGCATCGAGCAGCTGAACGAGTATAAGCAGCATTCCGAGTCCCAGGTCAAGAGCCTGCGGGAAGGCTAAAGGAATCCAACCTGCAGAGGTTCCGTGTCTGGTCACTGTGTGGAGATGTACATGGGCAAGTTCATGACCTCATGGAACTCTTTAGAATAGGTAGTAAATCAGATACAAATTACTTGTTTATGGGAGACCATGTGGACAAGGATATTACTCAGTTGAAACAGTTACATTGCTTGTAGCTAGCTCTTAAGGTTTGTTACCATGAGCGTAATACTCCACCATACTCCAAGGGAATCATGACAGCAGACAGATCACACAAGTTTATGGTTAAGAAAATACGGAAATGTTTGGAAATACTTCACAGACCCATTCGACTATCTTCCTCTCACTGCCTGGGTGGATGGGCAGATCTGTCTACCGTCCATAGACACACCTTGTAGTCTGTGCTACTACATGTACTACAGTCCTGAGACATGGGTCATCCTTGAAACAAGAATGCCCCCTTTAATGGTGTTCAGGGGCAGCTTATCTAGTGCTTTGGCCACGCCCCAGCTCTCAGGATCTTTCAGCTGCAGGCCCACCAGAATCCACTCCCCTGCCATCAGGGTCTCATGCCCAGAGCAGCTGCAGGCTGCTCAGAGCAGAGGAAAACAAGTTGTTTACAGGAAGCTCAGATCTGGGGGTCTGCAGTCCCCAACAACATCTGAGCACTTGATCGCCTACAAGAAGTTCCTCATGCGGGTCCAGTGTGTGACTTGCTGTGGTCAGATCCAGATGACCGTGGCGGCTGAGGAATAGCCCCTTGAGCTGTTTATACCCTTGGCCAAGATATTTCCGAGACATTTAATCATGCCAATAGCTTTATGTTGGTGTTCAGAGCTCACCAGTAACTCCAAAGTGTCAGAAAATAATTCAAAAAACTTGTTTTCACACAGACCAAAAGATGTGCCATATAAAAATACAAAGCCTCCTGTCATCAACAGCCGTGACCACTTTAGAATGAACCAGTTCATTGCATGCTGACGCGACACTGTTGGTCAAGAATCCAGTTTCCATTTGTGTTACCTTTGCTTGCTTGAGAGACTGCAGAAATAGGGTGCAAACATTAACACCCGTGAGTCCAGTTGACTCCCACTTAGCTGTGGCTTACTCAGCGTGACTGTAGGTGACAACAGCAATCACTGGAGCTTAATGAACGTTTTTAAATAAGTACCAAGGCCTCCCCTCTAGCTGTTTCTTTTCAGGGACACCATTTAGTAATGATGTGATTTGTCTGCGCTCAGTTTATCCCCTTCTCCAATCTCAGCCCCACGTTGTTTGGATGGAACCGTTTCCCTCCTCTAAGATGTCACTGCACAAGTCACCACAATGCTTTCATAATAACTGGAGAACGGAGAAAAAAAAAATAGCCAAGTTGGTGGCTGGGAAAGAGAGAGTCCCTCAGAGAAAAGCTGAGATGGGGCACACAAAAGAAGCCCAAAGGAGTGAGGGAGCAGAGGGGTGTGGAAGGGAGCTGTGCCGGGGCCAGCCACTCAACTGCCAGAGTTCCCTCAAACTGGTTAGCGGCTGCCGCATGGGTCCAGTTATAAAGCACATCATCACAGATGTCATCACAGAGGTTTCTATCGTGGGGCTCTTCGAAGGGCTGGACTTCCCTCCGAAATGGAAGCCCTTTCCTCAAGGATATTAACACTCCCCCCTTGCATTGTGTTGGATAGAATATCATCATATAGCCAGCCGAGCTGCAGAAGGAGGCAGGAGGTGTTCATTAGGAGCCAGGTACCAGCTCAGTTCTGTGGCCCTAGGGAAGAATGGTCACTGGTCTTTGCCAACTCTACGGAACATCATAAGGCAGGCCTACTGTCCCATTATCAGCCACAGTTGACATGTCCACGGTGCCCACCTCCTGTGTGGTCCCCAGATGTGCAGGCTGGGGGCTTTTGGAGAGAACTGGTTATTCAATCACCACACCTGAGACCAGTATCACTGAAACTGGTTGCATGCATGAGTTCTTTTGCATTCTGCCAGCAAGGTTTCAGATATGCTGGGCCTGCATCCAGACCAGAGAGCATTTGCCAGCCACTCTGCCCACATATCAAGAGAAACTGGCTGTTTGTCATGAGGCCAAGGGTTTAAGGCAGAAAGAAGGCACAGGGTGGGATTCTTAAAGTGACCTCAAACTACGCCTGGAGGGACAAGGGTCTTCCAGCTGGGAGGAAAAGTCATGGTCCCAAGGATAAAAGAGTCCACGGCACAACCAAGGACACCGAAAAGACACTCCTGACCACTAGAATAGTAATATCCTCCAACCTCCAGGGCTGCCCGACCACAGTGACCAGGCAGAGGCCGTCCTCCATCCTGTGGAGCTGCCCTCACCACAGTGACCAGACAGAGCTGTCCTCCATACTTTGGAGCTGCCCCGACCACAGTGACCAGGAAGAGTTGTCCTCCATCCTACAGAGCTGCCCCGACCACAATGACCAGACAGAGGCTGACCAAGGAATGGCACCTGAGGTGGAAAAGGCCAGCTGAACAGGGTAGTCCGTCAGAAGCTAGGTTCCCCTCTAACCGGGAAACTGGAACCTAGAAAGAAATGGACTATGGGTGCTCAAAGGGCCCCGCTAGCCTCCTGTTCTTGCGACCCTGCAGGAGCCAGCAGTCCCTGCTACACTAACTGTACCCCTATTGTTTCTGGGGCTGCCAGGAAAGCGCCTCCTTAATTAACATCTAGCTGAAACTGAAGTGCAAGTTATCAAACTTCACCAGCCAGTTCTCACCCACGCCAGCGTCCACTCACAGGTGCAGACCTTCTCTCTTTTGGTTTTTACATACTGATAATTTCTACTAGAGGCCATTTGAAAAAAAAAAAAGTCCTCCAGTTTATATTGAGGTCAGGTCTGTGTGCAGAAAAACACCAAGATCAGAGATCCCAGGAAGGACTATGGGAACCTCTGCTGATGAGGGCCATCTGTAGGCAAGAGACTGAAAGGTCTTCCCGACCTTGCCAGAGCATCCTCTTGGGATTTTACCTGTACCCCCCTTTCTCAGTAGACCCAAAGAGAAAAGGGGGAGTTTATTCAGATTAATGAATTACTTTGCCTATATAAAATCCACCACTCAAAACAAAACCGGAGTAAACATTCCATCGAACCTCCTTTCCCCCTCAAGTTTATAATCTGTAAGCAAGCTCAGCACCTGGGCTGAATTATTTATCACATGTACCTATGATCTAGAGAATACAAAAGGCTTTTTTCCCCTCTGCCCGTTTGTTATAGCAACTGGAAATTAAAAACAAAACTGGGTGCCCAGGGCATGATGGGGCAGAAACAACAGGCAGCAAAGAGAGAAAAAAAATAGAGCATGGATATGTGGGGTGGAAAGAGCTGGTGTGAAGACCCAGTGGAAGCGTCAACTCCAGCCTCCCCCAGCCGACAGAGCCTCCCCCCAGCCTACAGAGCCTCCCCCAGCAGAGACTGAGCCTAGCAGTTACTGCTTGCAGCTTGGCCAGAATCTGACCCTGGGCTGCTGCAAACTCAGTGCTGGTATGGAACCCAGGCCCTGTGCAAGACTAGGCAAGCTTTCAGCCCTTAAGCCACACCTACAGCCCTACAGTCTGTTTTTCCAGCCGCAGGACACTCGAAGTTCAGAGTCTCGGCAAGGAGGGGGGAGCACCGCACATACAATAATAAGGCTGGGAGTGGGGGGTGCCTGGAGTGGGTAGATCCTGGTTTAGAGGACGGGGTATGAGTGGAGAGGTCATTTGTCCCATTACTTCAACAGTAGCCTTGTGGGTTCTGAACAAACAGCAAAAGCCCGTCAGGGTACCAGCATGCAGCAAAGCCTTCCTGCCCCTAAGAGACCCCTGACCTCCTCACCTGTCGAGGCCTCCACTTTCAGGCACTGCCAACTCAAAGCCATCTCTTTCCTCTGCGTCAAGGCTGCTCTGAATTCTCCAAAGTTACAACAGCTTAGGAAGCAGTGCAGAGAAATGACTCAGCTCTTCGGAAAACCCACGTTTCATTCCCAGCACCCAGGTCAGGGGGCACACAACTGCCTGTGACTCCAGGGGACGCCTCTGGCTTCTGCGGGGTGCAGGCACACAAATGCAGGTGCGGGTAAAGCTGAGTGCGTCTTCCCTACCCCCATACAGCCCATCCCCAGGTGCCGGCACTTGGGTCAAGGGCCCGAGAGCCAGGCAGATGAGGAAGGCCCTACCCCACGGGGCTTTCTCAGGTGTGCTGAGTAAGGAACCTGCCCTCTGCAACCCTTCCTCCCCAGTACCTTGGGGCCTGGTTTGTCTTGTCTCTGCTTAGGAGTGGTGCCTTAACCCGCCACCGTGGTTCTCAAGAGAGAAATCTCATTTTGGCCACAGAGCTCAAAGGGGCCGACTCCTTACTCTTGGTGGAGGTGGGACCGACTAGGCGCCCCTCAGCTAGTCTTGGTCAGGGTGATCCCTTGTTCGGAAGGGGTGCTGGTCATGTAGAAGCTGCTGAGTGAGTCCCCTGGAGAACTGAACACCGGGGAAAGGTAAAACACTAAGCTGCAGAATCAAAAAAAAGTAACAGCTCCAAAGTTGATCATCTGCTAACGGGAGCCGGGCTTGGGTCTTATATAAGGTCCCTGGGTCCGCCCCCTTTCACCTATTGGCCCTATTTAGAAACCCCGCCCCCATGGCATCCTGCCATTTCTTCTTGAAATGTCTTCTGGGAACAAGAAACCCCCACCTCAGGGAGACTTTCATTTTCCTTGTCTATCTATGTCCCTCCAGCTCTCCCTCACAGCTACGGTGAACCCCAAGGAGTTATCTCCATTTTACTACTTTAGGGAAAGAATCCGGAAGCTACGCGCTGATGATCCCAGGCCTTGAGCGCGAGGAGCTGGACAGAACAGACGTCTGTCTGCTCCTTAAACCCCAGCCCCTAGCTCACCTGGAGTCTGCACGTCTGACTCGTGGGGGCCACTTCCCTCCTGGGGCAGTCCAAGCGCAAGTCACAGAACACCGGGGTTCCCTGGGGACCTATGGGTTCCCTCTTCTTGATGCTACATGTTCCAAAACAGCCAGAGAGGAGAAGAGAGGCAAAGCAAAATGTCTGCTTCTGCTTCCTTCCCGTCTGTGCGTCCTCAGCTTCAGAGATGTTCTCCCTGAGTATCCTGCTCTCCCACCGGAGTCAGCTCTCACGTGGGGTGACGGTGGCATGGGTGGAGAGACTGGGAAGGACAGGAGCAGTCATCCCAACCCTCCCAAGCGGTCAGTCGGGTCTAAGGCTACAGGATTTAGTCAGTTTTTGAGACAGGGTTCCACTATGTAGCCTTGGCGTTATGCCCGGATCATGGGGACCCCCAAAAGCCCACCAGGGAGACTGAACCCCGTATGTAAAGGCAAAGAGCCTTTATTTCAAGCTTGAGCTTAGTGTGTTTGATGCAGCGAAGAGAGCCGAGCGCTCCGAGCCCAGTTGGGGTGGGGTTTTCACCATAGTAGAAGTTGGAGTGAGGAGGATTTCTAAGGTTCAGGAGCCTGATTGGGTGACATTTGTCTAGGGGTGTCTGGGTGAAAGGGGATGGGTGTGTGCTCGACTAAGGACACATGGCAATTCTATCTACAATGGCTGGAAAGGCAGGTATTGTCCCCTTGGATGCTGATTGGTCCGTTCCTGGGTGGTACCTGGGTGGTCTCAGTTTGTGGTCTTTCCTGGAGTCAGGTGTTGCCTTAGGGTAAACAGAAACTCAGGCCTACTTTCTGGGGGGTCTCACTGCTGCTTGGGTCCCACACCTGCCTGTCCTGGAACTCGCTCTGGAGACCAGGCTGGACTCAAACTCAGAGATCTGCCTGCCTCTGCCTCCCGAGTGCTGGGATCAAAGGTGTGCGTGCATCCCCAGGCCCAGCTCAAAATAATCTTTCTTTTTAACTACGATATGAAATATTTTTTTAAAAAATGTTTATTTATTTATTATATATACAATATTCTGTCTGTGTGTATGTCTACAGGCCAGAAGAGGGCACCAAACATCATTACAGATGGTTGTGAGCCACCATCTGGTTGCTGGGAATTGAACTCAGGACCTTTGGAAGAGCAGGCAATGCTCTTAACCACTGAACCATCTCTTCAGCCCCTCAAGATAATCTTGAGGAAGGCAGTCGAGTAAAAATGGAAGAGGCCTCTGGGTACCCGGCAGGATTTGAACTGTTAAGGCTGGGTTCCTACTCTGACATCAGTTTATCCCAAATGTGCCCACCTACAGCATGGCAGGCTCTGCGGTCCATCCTCTGGAGCCTAGGACACTTGTAATCCCATGTCCACGTCAGGTGTCACACACTCCCCTAATGGCTGCCTCTCTCCAGCCTCCGCACCAGGACTTGCTGGCTACTTCTCAGTGTCACCCCTCCCTTCCCTCTGAGCTCCCTCCACCCTGACCAGCCATGCAGGCCAAAAGGACCCAGGGCCAATGGGCTATGTATGTCCTGAAATGTTCTGTCCGCATTCCAAGGGATTGCTGAATCTATGGCCCCAAAGCTTAGGACAAGAGGCTGCAATTAAAATCCTCCTTAAACTAAGGCATCTGTATGGCGCCTGGTTTCTTGGCGACTGTTGGACCTCAGGAGAACGATGCTTTCTGGACCTGGGTTTTTTCTTGTAAAAGAAGATACTGTTTCAGAGCATTTGAGAAAAGCCGGGGACAAGGAGGAACACGGCAGGAGAGGTGTTCCGTCTGTCTGTCTGTCGTCTGTCTGAGATTACCTCACTTCTCATATTCTAGGCTTCCATGGTATACAGGGGGAGTCAGTTAGCACCTCTGCTCAGCAAAGAGGAGAATCAGTCAGAGACGCTGGCATGCCCTGTGCACACAGACCCACTGGACACACCAAGCCAGTCATTAGATCCACCTGTTTATTAGCATGTGGTACGGCGAGGGTCTGCTAGGTCAAGGCCAGCTCACTCTCGTTACCCACTCCCCAAAGCCGAAAGCTGAATTCAGCTGCCTTCAGGTTCTGCAGGTGAGATGGTGTGGTGGCCCCTTGTGATGGAGGGTCATGTTGGTCCCCGATGGGAGGTGGAGGAGGAGGCAGATCTGGGGAACAAAAATGAGTAGAGGATGAGATGTAGGTGGTACCCCACTCCCCCCGTGACTCAGGCAGCCCGAGCAGAGACCCGCAGGAGCTCAGAGAAGCACACAGTACCCCATCCCCTTTCTAAGAACTACCTTTTCGAGCATGCCCAGAAAGCTGGAGTCCTGGGAGGCCTTGGCCTGGAAAACTTCCGCAAGCTTTACTTTCAGAATAACCTTTGACCCTGGGAAACCAAAAATGTGACTCAGGACCCAGCAGTCAGGGTCATGATACCTCCCGAGGGGGGCATGTCCCCCCTCCCCAGACTCCCTTTCCTCCAGTGCTGTCCCATCAGATCAGGGACTCAGTACCAAGGAATCCTCCCACCTCCATGTCCACCCTCCAGCCCTCACCTGTTGCATGTGAGCTGTTGAGGAGAGCCAGGAGGAGCAAGAGGGGCATCAAAGACCCCATTGTGGCTACCTCACTTCTCCAAAGGCAGAAGGGAAGTGGAAACAGCCACTCTTTACCTGGGCCCTCAGCACTGGTGTGGGGGGCACCAAGAGACCCAGCAACTGGATTTTCCAGTTCTCCTAGAGTGGTTCCCATGACCCTGGAGAGGGCCTCTCACTGGCTCCAGGGTAATGTGGAGGGGTACCCCCCATTGTTTGCTTCAGACCTCAGAGGAGAGAGAGGTAGGGACAAGTGGGGGCCCTCCTGCAAGTGCCAGGCCCCACCCAAGCCTGGGTCCCTCAGTGGCTCTTGAGGGGTTAATGATTAACCGTTCTTAGCTGTCATCATTCCTGCCAGAGAAGGGCTCTGAAATGCGTGCCCCAAAGGGAGGGGTGGGTGGGGCCTCACCCTGCCCCTCTTGGTGTCTTGACAGCTCAGTCTCAGTGACTTTCCAGGTGGGAAACCTGGGCAGCGGAGAGTTTCCATCTTTGAGATTTCATTTCTATTTTATTTTCTGTGAGTGAGTGATTTGCCTGCATGTGTGTATGAGCACCACGTGTGTGCAGTGCTCACAGAGAAGGCTTCAGATCCCTTGGAACCAGAGTTACAGAGGGTTGTGAGCGACCATACAGGGATCAAACCCAGGTCCTTTGGAAGAAGAGCAACAGGAGCTCTTAACCCCTGAGCCGTCTCTCCAGCGGCCACACCGGGCTTTTTATGTGGGTGCTGGAGATAGAACTCAGGCCCTCGTGCCTGGATAGCAAACACTTTACCAATGAACTCAATGATAATTCCTAAATGGTGACAACGTGTGAACCACCGGGGCAAGCTGGTGCTGTGGGCACACTCTTCAGAGCGGGAACTGAGCCATGGGTGGAGCTGTCTCTACCTCAAAGAGATTCTGGGAGCATCACATGAGCGCATGTGCGAGGCACTAATAGCGCTGAGCAAGCAGGTTGACTCTTAATCACGGCTTCTCCCGCTCAGCAGAGACCCCTGAGGACTGGGTGGTCAGCAGAGACCCCTGAGGACTGGGTGGTCAGCAGAGACCCCTGAGGACTGGGTGGTCA